CGGGCAGAACCCGTGGACGGGCGTTGTGCATGCTTATCATATGCCCATCCTATGAGCCCCTGTGCCCGGTCCTGCACCAGGTTTTCTCGGTCCTCGCCCCATGAGTCACCAGGCATTCTTCGGCGCACCCTACCAGCCGGCCGGCGCAGGCTACAGTGCCCCCCATCTGCTGACTTACGGAGCTCCACCACCGCCGCCATTACCTGCACTGTGGGATCCTGCCCTCCTGGCCGCCCTGCACTCTGCTCCATCGTCGAGTAACTATGGCGGTGGAGGCGACTAGTACATGGACTCAGGTGTTACTGCGCACATGACAGCTCATCCCGGTAACCTAACCTCCTCCACTCCCGTTCACACACCCGCTTGTATCACCATTGGCAACGACTCTTCTTTACCTATCACTCATATCGGTAGCACTAGTCTTCCTTCTAATTCTATACCTATCACTATGTCTAATGTCCTTGCCTCACCTGACTTAGTCGCCAACTTAGTTTCCGTTTGTCGTCTTACTCGTGAGAACCCACTTACTGTTGAATTCGACGGTGTTGGTTTTTCCGTGAAGGACGCCCATACCAGGATGGTCCTCCACCGATGTGACAGCCCTGATGAGCTCTACCCCGTACATGCCGGCGCCTCCACCTCCACACCCGTCGCCCTCGCCCCCAGCGTCGACCTTTGTCATGCTCTCATGTAATAAGCTCGACGTGCATACTTGTGAGGCTTGCTGTTTGGGCAAGCACATTCGTCTTCCCTTTAGCGTGTCTACCTCAGTTTCAACTTTTCCATTTCAATTACTTCATAGTGATGTTTGGACGTCTCCCGTTGCAAGTAACATGGGCTATCTATACTATTTGGTGATTTTAGATGATTATTCTCATTATGTGCGGACTTTTCCTCTTCGTCGCAAATCCGATGATGTAGCCACACTTACCTTCTTTTACTCCTATGTCACCGCACAGTTCGGTCGCCCCATACTTGCACTCCAAACCGATAACAGAAAAGAGTTTGACAAGTTCGCTCTCCGCACACTTCTCGCCTCTTACGGCACCATCTTCCATCTGACTTTCCCTTACACATCACAGCAGAACGGCCGCGCCAAGCATATCCTCTACGCTCTTAATGACTGCGTTTGCCCGTTTCCCTTTCACTCTAATGTGACCGCTCAATTGGTTTTGGCCAGATGCTCTCGCCAAAATCACTCTCTTAGTTAACATTCGTCTGTGTCGCCCTCGGTGGAACTACCCACTCACGACCTTGTTTTTTGTTATTTTACCTTAGAAATGTAGTAGGTTTTAATCGAATGTAATAGGTCCTATGAGGTACAATATATTTATTATGTGGTAATGTGTTAGAATTGATAATGATGATCTTGAGGAGGTGTTATGTGATGTCAATGATGAAAACGATGATATTGAGGAGGTGTTATATGACAATGATGTATTATGATGCTAAGTTGTTAATGATATGATGATGATGATGATATTATTATATCATTAGGTGAAAGAACCGCGGATTAGTTTCAAGTGGATGGACATCCACTTGAAACTAGTCCACGGTTCTTTCACCCCATGATGTAATAACTAATTATGATGTAAAAACAATCTCTAAATTCCTGTTGTATGAAAACTTGTGTAAAGGTGTATGAATACAACATGAAAAAGAAAAGAAATAAAATACTAAATAATAGTAGTAGCTCTGGTTAGGAGAAGCGCTACTACTAATTACCAGTAGCGATGTTCTAAAGAACCGCTGCTACTAAGTCAATTTAGCAGTAGCGTGGGTCAAGACGCGCTATTGCTAAGCATTAGCTGTAGCGCCTTATCAGTAGCGCTCCTGCCCGCGCTACTGATAGGCCCAAAACCCGCACTGCTGCTAGGCTTTTCCCTAGTAGTGTTCTCTTCGGTACACTACCGTCCTACGACGGTCTTCGCATCTTTAGGTGTCTTTATTATCCTAGCACTGCTTCCACTACGCCACACAAAATCACACCATGTTCCGTGCCATGGGTCTTCCTTGGCTATCCCTCTAACACCAAAGGTTACTGGTGCTATGATCCTGTCACTCATCATGTGTACACCTCGACGCACATGTATTTTGTCGAGATGGTGTTCCCTTTTTTCAGGATTCTCCAGCTTCGGCTCCTTCGGCGCCAACCCCCGCGCCCCCTGCTTGGAGCTATTTGCGGCGGGGACCCCCGGCGGTCCCACCTTCCCGGCGCCTTCTGCCGCCACCAGGGTTCTCGACTCCCTCCCCCTAGGTCGAGTCTGACCTAGCTCCTGGGTCCCCGGATCCCTCCTCAGAGGTTGAGCCCGACCGGGTAACCCACCCCGGCGCCGCAGCAGCCACCCCATCCACCACCCCGGACAACGCCGTCACTCTAGCGACGGGCTCGACCACCACCTCGCCCATCGCCACCTCCCGCCGCCGGCTCACCCGTCGCCACTGCCTCGGCCATCGCGGCCGCCAGCACATCCTCGACCACCGCCGCGGGCCCTGTAGCGG